AAGAAAAAAAAGAAAATCATGTTAAATAACTTTATGAATATGCAATCAACATAACCCAAACTGTAAAACCCACAGGATGAACCACTTGCTATCTTTAAGAAGAAACATTTTGCAAGGAAAATGTAACATATGGAGGAGGGAGTGTGTAGAGTTAAAATAAACTTGAGACTAGGGGTCCCTGGGTGGCATAGTCAGTTAAGCATCCAACTCTGGATTTTGGTTTAGGTCATGATCTCACAGTTTGTGAGATCAAGCCCCCCATCGGGCTCCATGCTGACAGTGTGGAGCCTGCTGGGAATTCTCTCTCTGTCCCTCCATTCTTCTCTCTTTCTCAAAAACAAATAAGTATTTAAAAAATTATTATAAAAAATAAACTAGAGACTTATTAATGAATTGCAGTATGTGGATTTTATTTAGATCCTGATTTGAAAATGTATATTCATGTATAAACATACATTTGTGATTCATGTAAGAAAATTTGAACACTTCTATAAAATTGATTTTTTTAATTATGGAGATATTTTACTTTTTTTAGATAAAGAAATGTATAATTCTTCAAAAAAAATTTTAAATGTTTTTTATTTTTAAGAGAGAGAGAAACAGAGCATGAATGGAGGAAGAGAAGAGAGAGGGAGACACAGAATCTGAAGCAGGCTTCAGGCTCTGAGCTATCAGTAAGAGCCTGATGTAGGGCTCAGACCCACGGACTGTGAGATCATGACCTGAGCCAAGTTGGATGCTTAACTGACTGGGCCACCCAGGTGTCCGTAGATAAATAACTGTAAAAGCAATTTTTATATTTTGCATATGTACTGAATTTTTTCAAATGAAATCATATGATATTTGGAATTGTTACAAAATAATCTAGAATCAAGGAGGCAGTAAGACAGTTGAAAAAAAGGATGCAATGAGTTGATAACCATTGAATCTGAGTGATAGCTATATGGGTGTTATTATTGTATTTTCTCCATTATTGTATGTATGCAAAATGTTTCATCATAAAAAGCTAAGCAAGAAAATGACCAGGATATTTTTAAAAGGTGAAGATTCACTTTCAGCAAAGATGTAGTAAAAAAGAACAGATTTATCTTCCCACCTGAAACAACCAAACCCATACAAAATATGTGAAACAATGGTTTGGGGCACTGAAAATAAGCAACAAAAGACAGGAAACAAGTGAAGGTGCCTTATAATTGCTTAGCTTATTGCCTTTAGAGAGTTCCCAGGCCACTGTGCAGGGAGGAGGAAACCAGACAAAATCCAGAGGTCTCTCTGAGTTCAGAATACAGACATGAGAGTGTATAGAGATGAATCATCACATACATTTGAGGAAACTACTGGCAAATGAACAATTGTATAGTTACCTTTAAAAATATCATTCACAAGAGCATCAAAATCATGGAATATTTAGGAATACATCTCAGAGAGAATGTGTAAGACCCATACACCAAAAACTGTGAAATACTGCTGAGAGAAATCAAAGACCAAATTAACCAAAATTTAAAAAATGGAGAGACATACTATGTTCATAGATCAGAAGACCCAAATTTATTAATATGTCAATTTTTCAGAAATTGATCTACAGATTTAACACAATCTCAATAAAAATTTCATCATGTTGTTCTTGTTAGAAATTGACAGGTTGATTATAACAGTCATATGAAAATGCAAAGGGCCCAATGTCATCAAAGCAACTCTGAAAAAGAAGAACAAAGTTAGAAGACTACATTCTGTTACTTCAAGATTATAAAGCTATGTTGTGGCATTGGTATAAAGACAGGTAGATAGAGTAGTAGAATAGAATGGGAAGTCTAGAAACAGGTCCACCTGTGTGTGAGCAACTGACTTTTGGCCAACATGCAAAGGCAACTCAGTAAAGGAAGGATAGTTTTTTCAACAAATGATATTGGAACATTTGAATGTCTATTTGTAGAAAAAAAAAAGAACTTCAATTAAAAAAAAACCCTCAAAATATAATATAAAGCTAAATGTGAGACCTACAACAAACATTCTAGAATCCAATGTAGTTTTTGTTTCTTTCTTTGTTTTTTGCTTTAAATCTCTGAGGGAGACTAAAAACCAGCCTTGGCTTTCAAGAAATTAGGAGACTTTACCTGTCTCTCATGAATTTAACATTACCTGATACTACTGACCACAGAAATCAAGAGTTCCCAACAATATTCAATTATCAAGTAGAAGAGTTATAAACAAAATAAGACCCAAACAGATTTTTAAAATCCAAGTGAATTTCAAGAACATTTTTCTCATCTCCCAACACGTCTCCCCAATTGTATCATTCTGTTGTCTCTTCCTCAATGTACATCAAAGACCTCAGCTCAAGTTTTTTTTGCAATCATTAACAGACAAGAAAGAATCCCAAATATTTCATGGTTTTAGATCCTGGCTTAAAAGGGTCCCAGAATGACTGTGAAGAAGAAAACCTTCACAGTGGGCAGAACTTTACTTATTACATTAATTTTTCTATTGTGTCTAAAAGGAAAAATAACTAGAAGACCAGATCTATGCTAATTTGCAGTAGGAAGAAAGGGATTGTCCTGAAAGATTACAAGTATATTTGTCCATTAGAAGCCTCATTAATGATATCTAGTCTGGAGGAGGCCTTTTATACCTGGAGAAAAACAAAAACAAAACAAAACCAAGACACTCACGGATATCAGCTAGCCACCAAGGACTTCACCAATAGTCTCATAAAAAGAATATAGCGGTGGTGTTGTGGATTATTTGTGAGTTCAGAAACATGGTCTTCCACTCACCAAAGCTAATTTGGTTACAAACCCAGCTAAGCACCCAATTTCCCAGCAGCAACTCCAAACTCTTAGCCACCGTAAGTAAATAAAGCTAAGCAAACAGCTTGGTTTTTGCTACCAATTGTTAAAACTAAAACATGACACTTAATCTGAATGTGGTTTTTTTCTCTCTCATGCAGGACATTTCCTTTTTTGTAAAGAACCCTATTTCCTGCAGGTCTGAGATAAAGTGTGAGAGGGGGCATCTCTCTGTCTTCTCTGTAACATTATGCTCCTGGGATCTAAATCCTCTCTGCTTGGGCTACAAATTTTGTAGCTTTTTGTTTGCTCATTTGTGTGATAGAAAAATAGGTATTGTAGTTGTGAATTATAGCCCTCTCTTCTCCTGAGAACCAGATATGTTCATAAGGGTTGGATAAAGAAACACTAGAGTTATAGCCACTAGGTTATATTCATAGTTACTATTCCATTTTGAAAACTATGAATCATTTTGGGATGAAATGCACTATTCACTCCTTTATGAAAATCTCCTACTTGTACTCCCCAACTTCTTACGCAACACAGTTGTTAAATATTGTTAAATCTGTTCAATCTACCCTAGCCTTTAACAAATTTCCCAAATGAGTAGGATTTCCAAGGAAGGCAATCCTTCATTTTGTGAAGGATTTCTCATTCTATAAAGAAAATAACCAATATTTCCCATTGTATTGTTATAAATATGTGTTTTCAAATCTCAAAAAAAATCTCACATCAATTTAGTAAGTAGATATTCATTAAGAACTTATGTATTAAGCACTTATTTACATTAGGGAACCACAGAAAAACTTGATAACCTTGGATTAGACAAAGATTTCTCAGATATGATACAAAGAGCATGATTCAAAAAGGAAAATTTGATAAACTAGACTTTAACAAAAGTAGAAATATCCACCCTTTGGGAGACACTGTAAAGAGATGAAAAGCTAAGTCCTCAAGTGAGAAAAGGATATTTGCAAATCATCTTTGTGATAAAAGATTTGCATTCAGAATGTAGAAAGAACTCTCAAAAGTCAATAAAAATCAATCTAGGGGCACCTGGGTGGCTCAGTTGGTTAAGCGTACAACATTCGGTTTTGGCTCAGGTCATGACCTCATGGTTTTGCGGGTTTGAGCCTGGCATCAGGCTCTGCACTGACATTGCGGAACCTGCTTGGGGTTCTCTCTCTCTCTTTCTCTCTCTCTCTCTGCTCCTCTCCTGCTCATGCTGCCTCTGTCTCTCTCAAAATAAATAAACTTAAAAAATTTTTTAATAAATAAAAATAAAAGTCAATCTAGTGGCACAAAATCTTAACTTCACCAAAGAAGATATATATGTAGAAAATAAACACTTGAAAAGGCAGTCAGTGCCATTAGTCGTTGGGGAAATGCAGATTTAAATTACAGTGAGATACTATTACACACATGCTGAAAAATGGCTAAAATTAAAAAGACTGAGCATACCAAGTGTGGACAAGAATAGGGAGCAACTGCAATCCTCATACACCACTGGCAAGAACGTAAAATGGTATAAACAGTTTCTAAAACAATTTTGCAGTTTCTTAAAAAGTTAAACACTTACCTGCCATATGACCCAGCCATTCCACAATTAGTGTTTTCTTTTTTTAATATTTATTTATTTTTGAGAGACAGAGCATGAGTGAGGGAGGGGCAGAGAGACAGGGAGACACAGACTCCGGAGCAGGCTCCAGGCTCTGAGCTGTCAGCACAGAGCCCGATGGGGGACTCAGACTCACAAACTGCAAGGTCATGACCTGAGCTGAAGTAGGACACTCAGCCCACTGAGCAGCCCAGGCACCCCTGTATAAAATTCTAAACATGCAAAGCAGTTGCCTGAGGCTGGGGATGGGTAGAGAGAGGTTGGAAGGGATGATTATAAACAGACAGGAGGTGACTTTTGGGGGTAGTGGGTAGTCATTACCTTTATTGAGGTGATAGTTACACAGATGTACATAAGTCGAAATCTATCAAATTGTACACTCTAAATATATTCAGTTTATTGTATGTCAATTTTACTTCAGTAAAGTTCTTTTTAAGGTGAAGATGTCTCAAGTCCCTCATTCCTTTAAGTAAACGTACCAGAAAAAAAGCCCGCATATGAAGAGGAAAGTAGTAGAAACAATCAGTTTAAAACAAGTTTAAATCCTGTTTTGATTCCTTGTGCACAACACATTGATCTAAAATAATCAGACTTACCTTTTCTCCCACATACGGCGACTGTAATGCTATTATGTGACTCAACTAGATGGTGGAGCTTTACAGATTGCTGAAAAAGAAGAAAGGAAAATGGAAAAAAAGGCTTCTCTATTGGAGGGTAAGTCCCAGGTATTAATTCAGTAAAGTGCTAGTCTCTTTAAAGACAGAGCACGGACTTGTTCCCAGCTGAATGCACTGGCTAAAAATGAAAGACTAAGTAGCCCATTAGTCACCTGAAAAGTCATCCAACTTGCTGTGCTGTTCACCAGCAGTAAGAAGCATGTGTTCTTTGATAGAAAGAAATTTCCCAGCACGCTCTGTTCACTCAAAGTAGTTTTTGATGACCATACATTTGTGTTTAGTTCTTTCAGTAGAGAACATCAAGAACTTTAATCATTCAAGATATATGTTCATACCTAAATAGCTTTGAGAAGTGTTATTTCAGTTTTGAGTTATCCCACATCAGTGTTCTTAATCTATAACTTTGTAAGAGTTTTAGTGGTGCCTACTATTTCCTCTTTGTATATGTTGTTTTCATATATGAAATACACAGGACTTTGAGAGTCAATCAATAAGAGGATATAAAGGAAATATACAATAAAATTACATTTGATTTCACATTTATTAAGAAACTCTTGTGTAAAAGAGGAGGGCCTGGGTGGCTCAGTCAGTTAAGCATCCAACTTCAGCTCCGGTCATGGTCTCGCAGTTCGTGGGTTTGAGACCTGCATTGGGCTCTGTGCTGACAGCTTAGAGCCTGGAGCCTGCTTCAGATTCTGTGTCTCCCGCTCTCTTTGTCCCAGCCCCACCCATGCTCTATCTCTCTCTCTTTCAAAAGTGAATAAACATTAAAAAAAAGAAAAGAAAAGTAACTACTGTATATAAAAGACCTATCTGGTTCTAGGGGTTAAAAATCCTTTTTTTTTAAAAAAATGTTTTTATTTATTTCTGAGAGAAAGAGAGACAGCGTGAGCAGGTGAGGGTCAGAGAGAGAGGGAGACACAGAATCTGAAGCAGGTTCCAGGCTCTGAGCTGTCAGCACAGAGCCCGATGCGGGGCTCAAACCCACGAACTGCAAGATCATGACCTGAGCCGAAGTTGGATGCTTAACTGACTGAGCCACCCAGGCGCCCCACTAGGGGTTAAAACTCCTAATCATTTAGTGTATTCACTTTTTTTTGGTTCTGATTTTGCCATTTATGATACCCCCTAAACCTCCTAGCATAAATCATTTATAAATCTGATTAATATGTCCTAAGAATGATTAATAGAGTAATACAAGGTGAAAGAGTGTTCTGCTATTAACTTATGCTTTTATTCATTTTTGCATTCACTCAACATTTATTAAACAAACTTTCTGTGCTAGGGACTATGCTAAGAGGTACGGATAGAATGGTCCAAAAAAAAAAAAAAGACATAGTTCTTACTAACAAGGAATTTACATCCCACTGGGAGAAATATATTTAGTCAAATAACCACAAACATAAATGTATCATTACAATCAATAATAAGAAAAAAAATGTGCCTTTGGAGCATATACAGCCAATAGAAGCAACAACAGAAAGCTTTCCTAAGTAAGTGACTTTGAATCAAATAGGTTGTTGAATTTATAAGCCTCAACCCCAAAAGAAATACTTGGACTGGAAATATACATAAATTTGAAAGTCATTTTAGAATTCATTAGTATATACAGCTATCAGAATAATGAAGACTCAATATACTCACATGAAAAGGCCATTAAGCCATATATTATGAATAAAAATAAAGCAAGATAGGAAATTATATAATGATGTTATCTTTTCCATAAGAAAGAAAGAAAAAAACAAAGTACATCTATTTGCATTTCCTTGATTTGCCTAAAAACTTTTTTGGAAGAAAACACAAGGAACTAAGAAATGTGATTGTACAAGTGGAAGGGAAGAGAAAGATAGAACATACATTGTGTATGAGGTAGAGTATACACTGTATAATTTGCATATTGTTTTGCTTTTGAGACACTGTCTCCCCCACAAAAGGCCAGGGAGAGGAAGATAAACTATAAAAAGTGATTGAAAATGAGCAACTAGAGAGGATGGAGAGTGTTGTCCCTGAAGTCGAAGGGAAAGAGCACTTCAAAAAGAAGCAATGGGCCAGTTAGCTATCAAATGCAACTGAGAGGTTTAGGAAAGGCTTCAGGGTGGAAAAAAAAAAAAAAGTGTCCACTGTGGGAGGGGAACCATGAAATCATCAAACAAAAGACCAACAGTCCAATAAAAATTAATGAAGGACACAAATACAGTTCACAGTGAAAGAAAATACAAATAGCTGAGGACATGAGCTAGAGCTCAACTTGTAATGCAAAACATGCTGTTGAAGTTATGTGATTCTATTTTCACTTATATTGGCAAAGATAAGGGAAGCCAACACTCATCTACTGTTGGGAGGAGTGTAAATTAGTATTACTTGTTTAAGATGCATTTTGATAATGTCTATGAAAATAATATACCTAGTTTATAATTAAGTAATTTCACATATAAAAATTGTATGCCTCCATATCAATATATATAAGCACACACATATGAACTTTTATATCAATATTTATATGTAATATAAATTACATATACTTATAATTTATACATATTTATAAACACATATATATGTGGAAGTGTGAAAAGATACACGTGCGAGAATTGTCATTGTTTTAATAGCAAAAGACTAGAAGCAATCTAACTATCCATCAACATTAAGACTGCTTTAAAAAATTAGGGTATATCTAGAGAACATATTTGTGCAGACATGAAAAGATATGAGGATAGATTAAGTGAAAAATGCAAGTGCACACAGTGTACATAGTGTATTTCCGCTTGTGTGAAACAAATTAGTGCATATGTGTTTAATACTGCTCAAGGTTATAAAACATCTGATCCCAGTAGATGTCTTTGGAGAGGGAACCTGGACACTGGGAGATCCAAAGTGGGAGGGATATTTACTTTTTATTTGTGTTCTATTTGAACTTTTAAAAAATCATGTCCATATATTACTATTAAAAAAAAATAACTAGTTTAAGAAAAGAATTTTTTTAGTTTTCATTTTAAAAAGTTTATTTATTTATTTTGAGAGAGAGGGAGAATGTGATCAGGGGAAGGGCAGAGAGAGAGAGGGAGAGAGAGAACCCCAAGCAGGCTCCACACCCAGCGCAAAGTCCAACATGGGGCTCAGTCCCATCATGAACCAAGCTGAAATCAAGAGTCAGATGCCCAACTGACTGAGCCACTCCAGGTGCCCCTAAAAAAGGAATTATAACCACCAATGGCCTTAACATTATAGTGGTGACCTTAACAAGAGTTCTCTAATGGAGTCACAAGAGAGGAAATCAGGTCAATACAGTGAGAAGAGACCAGGAGATGAATAAGTGATGAGAGCATGCATAAAGAAGTTTTGCTGTAAAAGGAAGAAGACAGGTAGAGTAGTAGCTAAAGGCAGAAGCAGGGTCAAAAGAAATGATTGTTTCCTCACTGGAGCACATTTACATGCTAACCAGAAGGCCCTTAGGGGAGGGAGTGAGGAGGTCATTCAATGACCACACAACACCCTGAGCCGGTGGGAGAGAATGCTATGGCAAGCACTGGCAGAGGGCCCTTTGTCCTCTATCATGGGAGGGAGGTGGAAACAGGGTCATTTGACAGTTGGAGAGTGAGGAGTTGAGCAAATTCCTGTCTCCTAGCTTCTATCTTCTTTGTGGAACAAGTGTTGAGATTATCTGCTGAATTAGAGGAGAAGTGGAATATGAGATGAATATGAGATCTCTATCATGGAGAGATAGTTGGGTTGAATTCTTAATTTTGAGAATGGGAGAGTACATTCACCAGGGACATACAGAAAGCTTGCCCAAATGAAGATGGAATACATGGACTTAGAGTGTGATCAACCAATCTGTTTTACATGACTTTTTCCCAACAGCACCTAGATCCCCTGGTGTGGGCAAAAAGAAAGCCAAGAGTTGGACTCAGGCTTTGGCAAATAAGTACCGACCAACCGGAGAGGGCAAAGAGTCATTATTAAAGAGACACTTCCACCTTCCACCCTCTTCAAGATCCCACAGTATTCTCTGTACATATCTTTTCACTTCTTCACCATTCATAGAGATTTGTAAATTCCTCTGACTGATCAGCCTGAGTAAACTTAAGAGAGGAGAAAAAATAATTTGGAAGGTTAGGAATCGGGATGTAATGGAAGGAAAAGGACTAACACTTTTCAATACCAATATTTGTGCTCGATATTTACCAACTTGGTCTCGTTTATTGCGGAGTGGGCAATGGCGATTTCCTGAGTCTTCTTTCTAACAACATTTCAATGGAGTTCCTACTGGCCCCTTTCAGTGGCCACAAGATGGATAGCAAAAAAAACTCACCTCTCTGAGATCATATACCGTCAAAGCTATGGACATGACGGACATGATTATGATGGCAAGAGCATATTCCTTATAGTCTTCACTAAACCACAAGCAGACACTGAAGAGTTGAAATATGTAAAATGGGTTTAAAACCTGTTGGCAGACACAAAAAAGGAAGACAAGGAGGGTATTTAGTCTTTACACTGAGCTATTCATTGACTATTCTCATTCGCTTTCCTAAGCATCTCTGTGACATCAAACACCCCACACAATATTCTCATTCTTATTATATTTATTCAGCAATTGTCATGTGCCAGACACAGTGCATAGCAAGTTTACCTGAATTTTCTCATTTAATTACCATAATTACCTTATTACCCAGAAGCTATTACTTATCTCCATTTCAAAGATGGAGAAGCTGAGCCTCAGATCTTAAGATCTGAGCAGTGAGATTCTTGAGAAACTTGCTGAAGGTCACCCAGCTGCAACAATCACAGAATAGGGCTTGAACCCTGGAGCACTTACTTTTAATCACTGCTGCACCTTATCATTTACAAAGTAGTGTCTCATGGGTCCTCATGATGACCATCACAAGGGTGTAGGGTGTGGATATTATCAGGTCCAGTTCATATGTACTGGCCTTCAGAAGGGTGAGGTATTAGTTCAGGTTTACAGAGTTAAAATGCTCTGGAGTCTGTTGTTCCTCCCGAGGAAACACTATCTGCCATCTTCAAAGCCATCAAAGTACCTTAGATTTATGGATAACTTGAAGACTACATTTGCTCATAAGTAGAGAGCCATGCTGAAACTGGGAAACTGTCCATGAACATCTAGAACACTGTAGAAGAAGGTAGAGTCTAGCGCAAACAAGACATTTTGCACCCTTATTTAAATGCGTTCTAGTTGATTTCCATCTGTCTACGATGGGAACGGTAATCTTTGCCTCTGGTGAGGAAAGGAGCACACAGAAACATTTCCTATCAGCTTCTTTTGCTTCCTTTCTTACTAGAAATATTGAGAAAATACCTTTAGTTTTCTATGGTTTTTTTAGAAGCAAGTGGGAGTAGAAGTGGAGTTCAGAAAAAGACCCCGAGTACAGTGGTATGGTTATAGTTTCATAATAATCACTGCAAAATGAAAAATTAGCTCAGTGGTAGACTCAAAGAGGAAAAATTTAACTTCTAAAATGATGGTCAAGTCCTTTTTTTTCCTCCCACACAAACACTGAGATCAAGAGAACTAATAAGGCCAAGCTAATGCTTTTCTTCCTATAATTTTAGATGCTGAGGAAATTGTATATGTTGCCCATAAGAAATGTCTTGAGTTTTTAAATTTTTATTGTAGTTTCACAAAGTTGAGAAAGGCTAAGAAACAGAGGATTAAAAAGGAAAGAAAGAGAAGAAAATAGGTTCACCCGATTATTAAAGGATAAGTAGACACATCGTCGGATCTTATACCTTGCCAGGCAACGTGTGCAAAAGATGGTCTCTCAGAAAAAGAGTAGGAAAGAGATATGAAGAAACTATACTTTGTATTTTAAAATATCACAAATTACAGTTACTTATTAGCAAGTAGCATTCCTGATTGTTTGACTAGAACTAAACTTCTTTATTTCTATTCGGCACCAAGAGTAAGTCCTGATTACCTCTTTGATGAGTAGTTTCCAAATTGGAGTGATTTCAACATCGATAGTATTAGGCCCGCATATTAACCTCCTACCGGGAGAGATCATAGATCAGTCAGTTGCAAATAATAAAAATGAACCTCATTTTTCACTCATTCAAAAAAAAAAGGCCTATTCACTTTCTTACAGTCAAGGTAAGCCTCCCTTGCTGCATAATATCCCCATCTTTCTCGAAATAACTGAGGAAGGGAGGGCGGAGGATCCCAAGGGCAAAAGCAAGAAACATGATCATGTTGCATCTACTGAATTAGATTCTTCCTGAGGTCTAAATATTTTCCTCATGGCAACTTGGGTATTTAATATTAGTCATTGCCTCGTTCAAGTAGTTTCCAGATTGGCACTCTCTCACCTCTGTCCCCAACTGTGGCTCTGTGGATGCATTTAATTTAACAATACTGAATAGACCATTACAAAGCTTCCTGATATTGACCAGCTAAGATAATGATATGCTAGGCTCTCTATTGGTCTAATGGCAACGATCCTTTTGAGCTGATGTAGAAAACAGTAGGCATCGTACCGAATCTCTTGCTCTTCTCTTGTTAGACCTGATCCGAATTTGAGATGTATCTTGGCAGAACTGAGCCAGTCTTCCAAAGAACTAAAAGAATAATAATGAGAAAGACCTATTTAGAAATAATATTTTTGCAATAAGTCTCTCTCTTTTGGATGAAAGTGCTGAAACCACTTACCCAATTTTCTGGAACTGTCCTTCTAGGTTGTTCCAAACATATCTTATTTTCTGCACTTTTATACATCTCACCTGCAAAAGAAAAGTACTAAGAAAGTCTCTAGTTTTGGGGTCAGTAAATACACAGCAGTTCGGTGGCTAAAGAAACACCTTGGAAGAAGGCAAAAATAGAGTTCTAATATAACTTTTAAAGGTTATCCTTTCCTAACTTACTGCAACTTTCCCTGCTACACAACTGGCATTCTTACTTAGAAGTTTTCATTCAGTAGACGTGTATCACACGTGGGCTTACTATACAGGTAAGTATATGAGTAAAACTCCATCTCTGCATTCCACTAGGTTATTGATAACCTAACAAAGGAAGAAAATATGTTACAAAAGTGAAAACTATACCAGACAGTCAAATATATACATGTCAAAGAAATAAAAATATAATCATGTAAAATGTATAGTATCGAAATACTGTAGAAATATAGAGAGAGCAGATGACCGAAGGCATCATGGCAGTGATGGCATCCAAGCTGCCCCTTGAAGGACTGAAAGACTTTTGCTCAGATGAGAAGGAAAGAGGTCATGTCAAAGAGATTTTGCACAAGTCAGTTGTGAGGAGGGGCAAATGAGTGGGTCTACTTGACTGCAGACTGGAGAATGAGGTTGGAAAGATAAATAAAGATGAGAGTGTCAAGTCTCAAATGCTAGGGTGAAGTATCTAGGACTTTGTCTGTGGGCAATGGACTTTTCAGAGAAAACTACAGAAGAGACAGTGAAAAGGATTAGGCTAGCAGCAGTTTCTAGAAGAGTCGGGAGGTTATTGCAAGAAAATGTATTCCAGGACATGAGCGTCTGATGTCAGCAGTGAAAAGGAAAGGTAAGGTTAATGCTTATGGCAATGATGCCCTCCTGTTTCTGATTCTTGAAGCAACTTTATATGTGAATCTGAATTTCCATTAGCTGGTGGCCTGAGCACGAGGAGATACAATGCCATATTGTTATGGAACAATGGTTATAACCTCATTTTGCCCGTTGAAATTAACTGGAAGCTTTAAAAAAAGTACTAATGCCAGGGTCTCACCCCCAAGAGATTCTGACTTCACTTGTCTGGGGTGCAACCTGGGCATAAATATTTTTAAATTTCCGCAGAGAGTTCTACTGTGCAGCCAAAGTTGAGAAACCGTGTGTTCCTTTTATTTTATTTTTTTAATGTTTATTTATTTTTGAGAGAGAGGCAGACTGCAAGCAGGGGGAGGGGCAGAGGGAGAGGGAGACAGAATTGGAAGCAGGCTCCAGGCTCTGAGCTGTCAGCACAGAGCCCAAGGCAGGGCTTGAACCCACAAACTGTGAGATCATGACCTGAGCCAAAGTCAGTCGCTTAACCAACTGAGCCACCCAGCTGTCCCCTACAGTGTCTTCCTTTTATAGTTACTCTGATAATTGTGTCCTTGAGAAACTCAAGTAAATTTCTCTGCACCTTAGTTTCCCCATGAATAAATTGAGGCAATTGAGCAGATTATCTCTAATTTCCAGTGCGCTCTTCTGGGTATGTTCTATTCCTAAGAAGAGTGCATCAGTATAATCATTAGATAAATTCTAGAACTGAGAAGAGTGTACAGCTGAAACCTAATAAGTGTTCAATACATGTGTGTTGGTAAATAAGTGAATGAATGCTTTGTACAACCACAGGACAACTAGAAATAGAGGTAAAATCCCTAAGTTCCAAGCCCGGGATACATCAAATCAATCTTAATTCTATTCAATAAATATATGTATGTGTACACGAACGTGCACGTGCATGCACACGCACGCACATATTCATAGTTACTCAATAAAAGCATTGAATACTGTATATTTTATTTTACAGAATGGATATATTTCAACGAGATTGGTTGCAAAGTAACTTAAAAAAATAAATCCTATTTTCCAATTGATTTTCAGTCTAAACTTGGAGTGCACTGCCATTGGGAGCAATTGTTCTTTCACAAGCTGCAAGCTGGAGACAGGAAACAGTGTCTGAAGGAGACTTGCTGTCACGGTCCACCTCGCAACCTCACGTTTCCTGTCTCACACCTGCCTGTTTTGTTCAGTCCCTGCAACTTTGCAAACAGAGCTGGACTGTAGTCACAGCTTATTGAGTACATGGGGGCTTTTCACACATCCTCTTTAGTCTTTTTCATCATCCTCTGGTAGACAGATATTATTTTCACCTTCATTTCAGCCCTGAAGTTCACATTAAGTCTTTTGCCCAAGATGGCCCCTATCAAGCAGGAGTCAAATTTGAACTCAAGCCCAACTGGCTCCAAAGTCCAGTCTCTCAAAGGATAGAATGTTCAAACTAGTCTCAGAAGAAGATCTGAAAAATCCCATAGCTGCCAGGATTCAAGCTGCATCAAGTGCAGGGTGCCTCCTTTGTTCATTCTATAGGTTCACAAATCTGGGTTAGAACATTTTTAAAGGACACACTATAGGAGAATGCGAGGGCCCTGCTCAATCAGAGAACCTAAAACCAGAGGATGTGACAGCACAGACTGAGATTGTGAAGCTTAGAAAACATAACAGACACAAAACATCAGCAGATGAAGGCAGTCGTAATGAGGAATAAAGAGGTTCCTGATAAGTTTTGCCTCGGGCCAGAAAATAGAAGACTCCATTACCTCCTGATAATTTCTTTTTTTTTCTTTCAAAAAAAAGTTTATTTATTTATTTGGAGGAAGAGAGAGAGCACAAGCATGAGTGAGGAAGGCAAAGAGAGAGAGGGGGGGGAAGGAGAGAATTGCAAGCACGCTTTGTGCTGTCGGTGCAGAGCCGGACGTGCGTGGGGCTCGAACTCAGGAACTGTGAGATCATGACCTGAACTGAAACCAAGAGTCAGGTGCTTAACCAACTGAGCCACCCAGTTGCCCCCCCTCCCCGGTAAGTTCTTGAGGCCATTCCTCACAGAGTGAGAAGAACGACCCCATCAGAGACCTTTCAAACTATCTTAAAAATCCCCCTAGCAGGAATCATCTGTGCCTGGAGTTTCTCTGCTTCCCTCATCACCTTCAGAGGCTCTGGACACTGGATAAGAGGATATATGGCACAGTATTTGCATGGGATGGAGTTTATTTGCCCACTTCCTAGGACTTCAGAACAGGAAATTGTAATGAGGACGTCAGGGTTGTGTGGTGGGGTGATTTTCAGCTTTCTGCTCCGAACCAGGACGCCTGCCCCTCCCCAGGCTTCCCGCGCCTCATTTCTTGTTGGAACACGTTGTGAGAGCGTCCTGTTTAACAGGTTAAGCACTGGGTTTTAGTTTTGCACGCAATCCCATGATAATACTTAGGCTCTTCGTGGCCTGCCTTTATAAACCTGACCGAGCAGATCTCCAAACTCTCCCTGAATGGCCTGAATGGTTATCATTTGGTCTTGTTGCCCTTTTGGCCTTCGCCATCAGTATTGTCAAGGCTGAAGCCCACAGCTTCTCCTCCATGTTCAAGGAGAGTTTCAGTCCTTTACAAAAGCAGCACATCACAGTTCACAAATCACCTTAGTGTCCATCTTCTCATCTTAGGTGTACCACAGCCTGAGGAACAGGCGCAGAAAGGGTTATTGCTCTCATTTTAGAAATAAGAAGCTCCAGGCTCAGAGAGAAAGTAATTAGCCCAACCCTGTAAGCCACATGCTGGTAAATGAAGATACCATCCTGCTGCCAGACGTTTCCATTTCAAGACCTCTGCCCCTTCTTTACATTGTGTTTATTTGAGCATTTCTTCATCGTTTTGTCCACTTATTAAAGAAGATGGAGGTCAATAATCATGGGAGGGCAGGTCCCTAAGGTTGAATTGGGATGCCCACTTTTCCAGGTGAATGACCCCCTGACAGATCATGCAATCTGTTGGTTGAAGGTGTTTGACCTCTTTTGTTTTTGTCTGTTTGGGCAGTTAAGATGGCCGGGTGATAACAATTGACAATAGAGAAACTGCTTAGCAATCGAGTTTTATTAGTTTAAGAAACTGACCTTGAGCTCATAAAGCTAATCTAAACAGCTGTCCACACACACATAAACTTCAGAGATAAACAGTCTCTCTTATAAAATCCGTTTTTAATATGAATGTTAACCAGCCATAAATCCAACTAGTACTAATTTAAAATGGAGAAGAGGGAGTAACCCAAACACATTTGAATGACAGAACTCAAAATGAGTTCATTCTGCAGACATCAGGAAGTCCCTGGAATGTTTCTGGGTGATCATCTTTACTATAAAAGAAACCTTGTTTCATAGATTATCATACAGAGGGCTTGATTCTACTCAGAGCTAACGTGTACTAGGTATCTACTATGTACTTCCCACTGTAATGATCTTTGTGGCCTTTAATTTATTGAATGCCGTCAATGAGTATTAGAGGTAGGCATTAACATCATCATCTTATACATGAGGAAACAGAAGTTTGAAAGAGTTTAGTAACAGAACCAAGGCTCTACAGTTTAGAAGGATAAAGCTGAGATTTGAACTCAGTTTTGTCCAGCTCGAAAGTACATGTTCCTTATAATGTTCTGTGTATACTGTCGAGGATTGGTGTGATGGAGGATCTGAACTTAATCTTACATCTTGGGGAGAGAATTCAATTTCTTCAGCATTAGCAGTTAGCATAAATGTACTAACCTTTAGGTCTGGCTTTCTGATGGCTTTATTTATGATGTCCTCCTCATCTGTGATGAGAGGCTGGTCAGGAGTGACACCAAACGTGCTGTTTAATGATGACAGGTAGATCCACATTACCTTTTTCCACGAGTAAGTGTGGAATTCATCCTGAGGAAATAGACACCAAAACCCCCATGAGGTAGCGAGAACTCATCAGGCTAAAATCCAACCTGAGACACCTCACTTTCATATAATCCTGTAAGTTTATGGACTTAATAAACATTCTGCACAAAGTTGTATGCCCATGAGAGCTGGGAGATATAAAGCCTTGAAGGAAAAAGCCTGTGGTCATTTATTGAGGGATCTGGGTATGAATATGAGGCAATGGCATATATAGCAAAACTTGAGAGCAGGGAGGTAAATTCTCAGAAAAGAGCCTTTTTTTTTTTTTTTTTTTTTTTTGCTATTACCTTCAAATCCCTGAGGCCACAGCCAGAGGCAAAACATCACAAACAAGCACTCAAAAGGGTTTCTGTAGGTCCCTGAGGTTGAGGACACCGGGTCAATTAGACCATCCCAGGGATTCCAGGCTTACCTTCAATTCTACCTCTTCCAGGGGGAAGGAGGGGCTATCACTATACTCACTCCAAAAGATCCTAACTGTCCCTCTCTTGTGCTCCTAATCACTTTCTGTCTTGTATTCTCCCCGTTCTTCTAGACCATCTGGAAGGTAGGAACCCTGTTTTATTGTCCCTTATATCCCCATCCATGTGGTGAACTGTGACCTGCCCAGTGAGAATGAGTGGATGTTTGTCCACACCAGAATGTAGGGACTGAAGGTGCCCAGGGGTAACTGTCAAGGGTTAGCACTGGTAGGATCGGGGAGACACCTTCCCCCGCGTCCCTAACTGCAGCTGCTTCCTTCGCATTCACTGCTGACTTCATCAGAGAATAAAACTAGAGTGAGCAGCACTGGGTTACGTAACAGGTACCACAATGGTCCCCATAGAGACTGATGCCATAATAACTGTGGTTGTTATCTGAATGGGTAAATGCTACGCATAAAATCCACTGGGATGCCTGATACACCTCAGGAGCTAGGAAGGACAGTGAGAGAAGTCAGCCTGGGAAGCAATTTAATGCCTAAGGAATATAGGTCAGAGCTGGGACTTGTCTCCACCACACCCACGCTTGCTGAGAAGGGTGTCCCAGCTGACACTGCAAAAGGACAGAGACGAGGAGATATGTTCGTTGTTTGCAGCTAATCTCTTACATTGATTCTCCTCCAGAGAAGCCCTTCTCCATGCCTTTGCTCCTTTGGCTTCCTTAGCCTAGAATACACATTCTCCTCTACTCTCTTTAAGCCTCCAGATGGCTAGATTTGAACCTTCCTGTAGGACCCAGCTCGAACTTTATATATGAGAAATGCTCCAATTTCTCTGGGTGATCTTTCCCCTAAACTATAAGGGTACTTGAAATTCTTACCACATTCTACCTGATCGCATTCCTCTTTACCTGTCCACCTTATCACTCTTCTTGGACTGTGGGCAGGGACTGTGCTTGGTGGGTATCTGTGCTCAGCCAGACCTAACACAGCTTCTGAGAGACAGACAGAGACTGAGACAGAGAGAGACAGAGATGTAGGGTGGAGGAGCAAGAGGGGGAAGCAAGGCAAAGGATGTGAGGAGGAAAGGGGGGTAAGATGAGAGAAGAGAAGGAAAGGAAAAAAGAAGGGAGGGGAGAGGAGAAGAAAGGGAGAGGAAAGAAACAATAGAAATTTGAAAGTTAATGCATTAATTCTAAAAACCAGTAAACTTGACTCTTACCCTCATTTAAAAAAAAAGATAATTAAGCCAAATTAAACCAGATTTGCATAGAGTTACCTTCAGAGCCTAAAAATGACTAACGATGGCTACATTTTTAGTGACTGAGCCACTGAACTTGGGCATGTTCTAAGGATAGGCAACAATTCCGTAGAACACATCTTGACATTGACATAATTCACCATTATAGGGCTTTGCCTTTGACCACTTAGGATGTTTTTATGAGTGAGTTTCTTGTGAATGTCAAATAATAATAAAAATAGTTAACGTTTATTTAACATTTATGTTCCAGGTGCTCCATCAGCGAGATTCAGACGAGGCCAGTCTGGTATAAGCAGCAAGAACCAGGACCTGAAGCCAGGTCTTTCCACTCTAAATCTTGGCTCCTTCCTCTTCGTTTCAACAAGTTGTCCATGGCTTCTGTGGCTTGTGAATGAAAATCACCTTGAATTCTATACCATATAACAAATAGCATCCAGTTTCTCACAATCTCTGCTCTCTTGGCAGCAGAGAATCTGATTCCTAACACCAAACTGTCACCCTTTGGCCCTGTGTGACAGCAAACAGATGTCTAGACTTATAATGCCTAAAAAGGGAACAGCAAAGAGGAACACTGGAACTCCCAAGCCCTCCGAGGCCTGTGCTAATCCGATGCACCAACTGTATGACTTAGTCTAGGCAAGTATGAGACCAAAATTCATCTATAGGCCTTCATCTTATTATATAGCCTGTACCATAATTAAATCAAAGGTGTTTGGGTCTATGTGCCTTTAAGTTTATTTCTTACCCCTAAGCTCTGTAACCCATAATTCTATATAATGAAAAGTATAGTTCTATAGGTTAAGGAAAGATACTTTAATGAGACAATGATCTTTCTTAGAGTAAGGCAATGATATTGACTTTTATTTACTGCTATGTTAAAGACTCTGTAAAACCATTCATATTTTTTAAGAAATCTACCCAACTTTTTAAGGAAAAATAGGGCAAAGAAATAGGGACACCTGGGTGGCTCAGTCAGTAAAGTTTCTGACTTCGGCTCAAGTCATGATCTCGCGGTCTATGGGCTCGAACCCCACATTGGGCTCTGTGCTGACAACTCAGAGCCTGGAGCCTGCTTTGGATTCTGTGTCTCTCTCTTCCCCTCCCCTGTTCATGCTCTATCTCTCTATCTCTCTCAAAAATAACTAAATATTAAAAAAAAAAAAAAGAAATGGAGAGAAAAGCGTGTCAGTGTGAGGCGGTCACTCCAGGCAACATCAACTTCTCCTAGTTCTCAGTGTGGTATTATCCAAAAAGGAAAGAGCACAGGCTCCTTCCTGAGCCGATCCCAGCCCTGAATGATCTTGAAAATCATGGCAACTCTCTGAGCTAAATTTTCTGCCTCCGGCAAGTGGGGATGAGAATACCACATTTCATGGATGCTTGAAGGATTAAACGCAATAATATATAATGCACCTGGTCCAAGGGCTGACCCTTAGCTGAGTGCAACAAATGCTCCTTGGCCTCTAGCTCTGGGCCTCCTTTTCTGCAGCACGTTGCTCTTGAGCTCTTTCTGTAAATAAGAACTCATTCTCCCTTGGAGGAAATGTGGAGAGTCTCTGAGAGTCTTCCAATTTATTTTTCCTTCTGAAACCGAAGTATTTTTTACCTGGAAATGGCTATTTCCACTTTACGCCTGTTTCCCAGCTCTCTCAAGTAAGTTAATGATCCTTAAGAGACTTAAGTGCCTCCCAGGAGCTACCACTTTAAATAACTGCTTTGTAATGCAAATAATCCAAACCATTCGCCTGGCAAATCTAGACTTTTAACACCTCAAGTCTCAGAGAGCAGGCGTTACCTTCTCTTTCTCAAAAGAGAATTAACCTGCTGACTTCTGAGAGTAGAATTTAAAATAACTCAAGAGCACGTGTCAAAGAACTGAATGTAACAGAAGACCTCTGTGTGCCCTGGACAGAAAGACACAGGGGGGAAAACCTGGGAGGTTTTGATTTCCTGTGGCCTTGCCCTTTCTGAACTTGGCAATGCCAGGCGAACTCTTCCAGCACCAAGCGAGTGGCCTTGTTTGTCTTCTTACAACTCTTTGTTATAAGCATCTTCTCTGTGGGAAATTCAAAGTAGTGTACTGGCCACTTTAAGTTCATGACAACGTGGCTCACCTTCTTGTGTAGGAGTTTGTGACACAAAATGTACCCCGGAGCTTGCCTGAAGAAGGAAAGTAACCAGTTGCAAAGTTCCAAAGAGATACCAGGACTCCGGTACTTTTCACTAGGAGGTGGATGGATACGGCGCAAGGCTAAAGAGCATGAACTTTCTTGCTAAGGCAAAGTACTTAGAGGATTTTGGATGGATGAAGTAATAATAACTTACATTTCTCAGGTTCTTTCTAAAACAGTGTGCTGCCTTTACAGCCCATGACTTTGGCAAAATACTATTCTTTCTATATTTAAGTGGTCTTTTTTTCTTTCCTTTCCCCCACTCTTGGCCAGACCCCCTGATGCTCTTGACACCCTGACCTCATATTCCCAAAGTTGCGTCACTGGAAAAAGTGGACATTGGCTAGAATGTGTCGGATTTAGTCATAAGATAGAGCAAGAAAGTTCTAAGCATTGAAAAAATCTCACACAAAATTATTGTCTCAGTACTCTTGGAATATGTTGACGAAAAAAGGGGATGGGATGGTAGAGGGGTGGACAAAAGAGTGGGGTTATATGACAAAGCAAAGGCTATATCTATATCTATGTTGAAACTCTGAACAACTCAGCGTACATTTTTGGAAAGACTGAGTGCTTTGTTGGTTTTTTTAACGATCATTTTCTGAGGGAAGAAGGAGTAGTGAGTTAGCTGGCTCATTGTCTGAAACATCGGAGATGCAGTGTGGAGCAGGAAGTAACAAATAAAAAATGAAAATGGGTTTGAAAAAGTGTGTAGTAACCAGTGCCCATGAAAAGACTCCTTGCCAGGCCCAGATTTCGTCATGGCATCTTACGTGTGTTTCTCACTGATATCTCAAGGAAATGAGGCAGGTACTAGTGTTAGCCCCTTTTAACATATGAGGAAGAGGAAGTGGAGGCAGAGTGGAGGGTAAGTGACTTGCCTAATATGTTCTGATTCCATATGTTGAAGTCCTACTGCCCTGTGTGACTGCATTTGGAGACAGGGCTTTTAGGAAGTAATTGAGGTGAAGTGAAATCCTAAGAGTGAGATCCTAATCCCATTGGGCTGGTACCCTTATAGGAAGAGGAGGACACCAGACAGCTCTCTCTGCCACGTGAGAACAGAAAGAAGGCAGCTGGCCATCTGCAAGCCAAGAACAGAGGTCTCACAAGATACTAAGCCTGCCAGCAA